TTCAAATAGAAACTTCTTAATGCATAGGCCGTCGCGCAGATTATCAAGGGTCGCCTTATCTCCTGCATACAGCAGGGCGGGTAAGCGAAAGCAAGCTACTGCTGGCGCCTCCCTACTTTCTTTTCCACTTTTTTCCTCTTACTCCCATCTCGACCCTCATTATTAAACTTCCATCCATAATTCCCAGCGTAAGTGATAGCAACCGAAGCGCCACTGGAGTAGAACCATCTGCAGGGACCATCCCACCACACGTGTCGGATGCCTATCGGTAAAAGTCCCTTATAAAGCCACGCTATCCCATTTCCATGGCGAAGTTCAACCTTTGCACTCTAAGATAAATAGGTCCACAGGTTGCACTCGCACGCACCTTGGACACACTGGGTGTTGATGTATGTTGTGTGTCCGAAACTAGGATCAATGACCCTGATGAGGTTGTTGAATTAACTGCACCCGGCTTATCCTCTCGTTACTGGTTGCACGCATCCGGAGACGCCGATGCAGCACTCACGGGTCAAGCCGGTGTAGGTATCATTCTAAGCTCTAAGGCTGAGCCATTGTTGGTTGATTGGATTCCGTGGAACAGACGTTTATGTGCAGTCCGTTTGACGACATCGACCAAGGTTGATTCGCGAAGCAGTACAAAACGCCTTTTGTTTATGATTTCTGCTTATGTTTCCAGCGACTGCAGTTTTAACGCTGTCAAGGACACTTTCAAACACGAACTGAACGCGATACTACGAAGTACTACCAGTTCAGCTAGTATGGTACTGGCAGGGAATATGAACGCACAAGTAGGGTGTATGACCTCTTCAGAAGCTCAGGGAGTATTAATTATGAGCTTAACTCCGAACGGACTCACAACGGTGAGCGTCTGCTGCAACTGTGTGCGGAGCACTAGTTGTTTCCTAGTAGCACTGGTTTTAAACACAGCGGGCGCCGAAGTGCCACTTGGAGTCCTCCTGTAGCTGGCCAACGGTGTACCCAAATTGACCACATTGCCATAAGTTACAGATGGCGTGGTTCCATCCTGGAGTGCCGCTCGTACTGGAGTACCTGTGTCGACTCTGATCATGTCTTGGTATGCTATCGTTTCTCCATGAACTTTACCGGGAGGCGTACCAAGCGTCTCCTACTATTGGCAACGGAGAAATTGCCTCGGCCCTCGATCAGGCAAGCGTATCAAGACGCACTGCGTACCGAACTTTCCCTGTCTTGTAACAATGACACTGAGTTTCAGTGGAATAGGAGCTAGGTCGACATGCACGACACAGGAACACCTGCTTGTGGCACTAACCATCATCACCGCACCAGTCACTGAATATCCAAGAGGTCGGTGAACCTGTTGGAATCTAGAAGATACCTCCCAGCTGGCTCTGAGCACAATGTGACCAGACGGGCTATTAGGCGTGAACTAAAGCGGAACCTACGTGCTGACAAGTAAGCTTGGTGGACCAGCCGGGCTCAAAAAATGCAGCAGGCAGGAGCAGTAGGCAATTACCGCAAGCTCTTCCAGCTGATGCGAACCACTGGTCCCAGGAATCCAGACGGCAATGAAACAATCAGACAGTGTGGGTGCACTGATACACAATAAAGAGCGCCGTATGGCTCGTTGGGCGGAACACCTTCAAGAACAGTTCAGCTGGCCCCTTGCTACCGGACCTCTTCCTACTCAGGTGGTGATGAAGGACGAGCCATGGACGGTTAGTTTAGAGCAACCGTCGGAAGCCGAAATCCGGAACGCGGTCACAGCCCACAATCGTTTTAATGTCGCTGGCACGGATTCCCTCCCACCTGCACAATTTAAGGATGGAGGTGAGTTCCGCTGCAAAGCATTGATCTCCCATATAGAAACTATCTGGAAGTAAGAGAGTGTCCTGGTTAATTAAAGCGAATCGATTATGGTGGCAATATACAAGAAGGGAAGCCGCACAGACTGTTCTAACCACACGGGTATTAGTCTAACACCAGTTGTGACAAAAGTACTGGCCTCGATTCTCATTCGTCGAATCAATGCGGAACGGGAATCGCGGGTTAGGGAAGAGCAGGCCGGTTTTCGCCCAGGGCGTGGCTGTATAGACCATAAATTCACTTTGCTGCAGGTGCTAGAGTAGCGCCACGCATACTGCAGACCAACAATAGCTCTGTTCCTTGATTTCAAGAGTGTGTTTGATTCAGTTCGAAATACCTGCGCGGAAAGGTGTTCCCACGAAATATGTGAACATCCTTCGTGCTCTATACCCTAACACTACAGGCCGCGTCAGGGTCCACCATGACCTATCGGATAGCTTTCCGACCACAAGTGGCGTTCGTCAGGGTTGTCCGATTTCCCCATTTCTGTTCAATTTCGTCGTGGATTCTATCATGCAGTGTTTCCTTGTGGAGTCTCAAGATGTACGCGTTGAAGTGCTGCCTGGTGAAAGATTAGTTGATCATGATTATGCGGACGTTATCGTCTTGCTTTTCGACGATGTTGGGGCGGTACAATCAACCCATTATTTGGTATGCACTTCACACTTTCAAAGTACAAAGTGTTGCTGCAGGACCACCAGCCAGTTGATGACCCCTTGACGCTTGTTAATGAGGAACTCGAGGTGGTTGATCAATTCACTCACTTTGTCAGCTGCATCAGCAACGATGGGCGCATAGAACCTGACGTCAGCTCACGCATTGCAAAAGGTCAGAGCTGCCTTTTGAACCAGCATCTTTGGCGACAGAAGAGAATTTCCTACCGTCTGATAGGCCGTGTATACAAGGCCACAGTGAGGGCCGTTCCGCTCTATGCTAGTGAGACCTCGTCCCTTCGGTCTAAAGATATGAGGCGCCTTCAAGTCTTTGATCATCGTTGTCTACGAAGCATTGCTGGAGTCCGATGGCACCAGTGTGTCCGCAACGATGATGTGCGTAGGCGAGTACCAAGTAGTGATAATCATGCTAGCTCTCTAGAACAACAGATAGTACTGAATAAGTTGCGTTGGCTCGGGCATGTGCTACGTATGCCTGGCCACCGCTTACTAGGAGGGCCTTGTTCAGTCTACCAAGTGTAGGGTAGCTTAAAGCTCGAGGTGGACAGAAGTTGACTTAACAGCGGGAGATGAAATTACTGAGGATCAAACTGGGTGCCGTTGGTCCGTCTCGCCTTCCGGGCCGGAGTCCACGTGACTCACGTGGTGCTTGGCTCGAGATTTTACAGGACATGGCTAGCAACCGACACCGGTGGTAAGTCTTGCCGTCTCCTAATCGGATTGCCTATTTAAAGTGTGTTTGGTGTTGAGTTATCTGCGGGGTAATGGCTGATTATGACGCGTGGTAGTGAAAGCCCCACAAGGAAGCTGTCTCGCCGACACCGCCTTTGCACGATAGCCAGCTGTTTGTGACGGTATGTTGTCTACACAAGGTGTAGGCGTCTTGACCCTGAATATTTGCTTATAACATTAAGGTTTTCAGGAGAGTCCCCCTTCTCTCCCTCTTCTTATTCTTTGATTCATAAGTCTTCGTGGTTGTATGGCAGCGAAGCATCGGTTTAAATGGCTGATGTATTGCTTCTGCTGTTGTTGTTGTTGATGATGATGATGATGATGCTACTGACCAACGCGATTCCAATGTCGTCGAAGACGGATGCAATCATAAGACGAATGGGATAGTCAGCAGTGTCGACACTCCTCACTGAGGAATGAGTAAAGTACGAGAGCGATGTTGAAAGGCGCAGGTGTTGATCGGTTCTCCGAGCTGTGTAACTTTGTCGCAGGCGTTTCATCACCAATTGTGGTGAGTTCGCCAGTGTTTAGTAGACAATCTGTATGGTTTGTCGATCCTTGATCTAAGCCAATGCGCAGGTTTATTGAATTCGCGAAATGCCCTCCCTTTTATTGCCGCTCCCTGCGCCAAACCTCCGTTTTCTCTCAGTGAATGATGTGTTCTTCTTCATCAACATGTACCGAGACCAATGTTGATGAGCAACGGTTTCGACAGGCTCGTTTGTGTTCTAGTAACCTTGCAAATAATTTGCTCCCGTTTGGCCCAGATAGAGTTCATCGAAATTTTTACACTGTATCCTGTAAACAACATTACGACACTCGTGTGCTCTCGTTTTCGCTTTCAGTCCAGACAGGGTTCATTTCAGAGTGGCGGTTGGTATGTGAGCCAACATCAGGTGTTGCGACGTGAGGAGTCAGGCGGTCATTTCCGATGCGTTCTTGAACCACTGCAAAGCGATCCGTTCCGTTGTTGTTGGCGCAGTTGTGGCATTTGTAGTCTTGCTATTTAGGTACCTTCGGAACAAACGGTGTGGATATCCATTGCGCATGACGGATGTAAACAGATGGCCTTCTTCTTATTGTTTTGCTTCTGCAGTGTTGCAATGCGATTCTATCCTGCGAAACAAGGTTCGTATGCAGATGATTTTGTGACATTTTGGATGGTTGTTGTTGAAATTTAGGATTTGGTCCGTATGTGTTTTTCCTGTGAACTGATGTTTGTTGTTCCAACCGCTCGGAGTTGGAGGTAAGATCAACCCAGGTTAAAGTTGATCGGTAAAGTGCTAACGGAAGTCTTCTATTGGAACAAATTTTATAATTTCTAGAAGCCAGAAAAGCTCTATACGCTTACTTGTTCGCCAATCTAATCAAAGACGTCTTCATGTAAGTTTTTGCAGGCATTAAATAAATATTTTCTCTCGACTATGCTAAGCACACCTATGGAAGGTTCATTGAACTACACGCTAATGTTAGTCGGGAAGATAACAAAAAGTCCAATCTGTCTTGACAGCCTCTGCGGCACACTTGCGAACTGGAGAGAAGTCAGTGGGTACGAAGAAGGTTACAGTCAGCCAACGCGACTGTGCTTGATGGACAGCTGCGTAATGAGGATGCATACACAGTACCGTTGGAAAATGGACCCGTAAGAGGAGCGCGATCTACAATGCACGATGCTCTGCACAAGAAAGCAAGTTAGACAACACGCAGAAGAATGAAAAAGTGAGACAGCGGTCAGGCAAAACTTACAGTGAGGCTTTTCCCATTGAAGCTGAGACGATCAACGAGCGAATTGAGCGCTTCGCTTTCCTTTGGAGTCTCCAGTCCGAAGGGGTCGCTGAACGCAGTGTACCGGGAGTAGTAATGCGATTGCTTCTCACTTCCACTCGTGGGATCCCCGCCTTCGTGTTCCTGATCATCATCCACGACAATGACCGAGAAGGGATCAGTGGATGCAGCAGCAGCAGCAGCAGCACAAGGTGCCATTCGTTGGGGAGTAGATACAGGCGCAGATGTGGTAGCACGAGACTCGGGGATGGGAGCTGGACATAGGGAGAAAATACAATTGAGGGGCATGTGAAATGATGGCAATGAGGGATAATCAGTTATAAGTCCGATAAAGTAAGGTCTTGGACACATACTATTCGCTGTGTTGTGATACCGCACTAGAGTTTGTCACACTTGTGTGTTTACTGAGCGCACAAAGATAAGTCGCGAAGTGGTAACAATTCAATTGCTCTCATCAGCCACGAACGCAATACAACTAGGAGCCAAACAGAAGTGAACATGTGGAAACCAAACTGAAACCAAATGATCCATCAAAATCAAGGCAATCTAACAGGTTGCTTTAGTTTCTTCTGTGCACACACACACACACACACACACACACACCTGTGTGTGCGTCTGACCGGAGAAACGAGAAACGCACATTGTGCACACTTTCCGCCTTAGTACTACTCAGTGGTGCGCTTGCATTCTGAATGCTACCATAGTTGGGTACATTCGTAGTTACTGTGCAAGCGTTGAGAATGCACCACTTTTGTTGTATGACGGCTAATTTGATTGTGGAGAAAATCAACTAGCCCCTCTTAAAGTAAGGTTAGCGGTGCTTGAAAGACGAGACTACGGTAACCCTGGAGTACACAACAACCGATGCATAGTTTTCATCTGACACAATCAAGGTTTTCTGGGTACAGCACGACGGGGGATGAATGTACAAAAGCTGGGCCAACTCAAGTTATGTAAGAAAAATCCCAGTTGTGTGGTAAAACAGGCTAACTCCGTATGAGGGGGTATCAGCAGCACGTCAGAAGTCAGTAACGACGCTTCGGCGCCGCGCAACCACCACCATTCGCGCTTGGGCTAAGGATACTGCGAGGGTAGTCCGGTCTCCTAGGCAGGCTCGAACTCGCGACCACAGAGTACAAGGCAGGCTTGTGATCCTTAAGGTCATGGGCCGGCGCCGTACGAGGAGCTATGGGCGCAAGTATCCAAAGAAAGCTGGCGGAAATGAACACCCTTAAACTACACCAATGGTACAGTGCAGCAGATATTTCATGAAACGACTGTTATATACATGTTAAGGGACAGTACCTACTGCCTAGGGAAGGACTGACGCGCATAACGATCCTCAGATGATCTTGAGAACATCGCGGTTTGATTCAGTAAATAGAGGACGAAACGGCATATACTCCAAATGATCAAGTCCAAACGACCAACAACTGCTACGGTCTACCACAAATGTGTACGTGAGAGTCGGAACAAGTTGAGGAGAAAGACTTACACATCCTGCGTTCCACTTGATGCTCCTGAAAGAGAGGGAGCAAGAAAAAAGGTTTATACTAGTGAGGTGAATAGGAATGATAGATCACGCCAGTATGACTGCGATAAATGCGATATATGAATCTATCAAAAGAGAATCTATAACGCATCGACACCTCACGTATCATGTGTACGATGATTCACAGTGAGTGGGATCAATATGGTGAAGATGGAAATTAGGCGTAGTGAAACAAGACAATAAATGAAAGCCAATGGAGAAGACGAGCAGAAAGTTGAGGAATGAGAGTGAAAATACATTATTTAATTGTAGTTTTGCAGTAGCAAGCATAATGCATCGTGTGGCATCCATTCACAAAGAGCACGGCGTGAGAATAATCCTGTTTCAGGAAGATTGATGCTTCTGTGCAACGGCCATTATGCGGTTTAGTCCAAGTGGTGAGATATGTGAGCGAGAGAAAGTGAATGATTCGATCCAACCTGACTAATGTGAGCGGCACATGGACACATCAGGAGGACCAATGAGAAACAAAGAAGTGTGCGTGTGTGTGTGTGTGTGAGTCAACTGGCAGTCACTCACTTACTAGCTAGTCGGTGACCTCACCAGATATAAGCAGGTGCTTGTCACCAAGGGCAAGCAAGCGTGCCCTATGCATGCCCAGTGAGAAACGACCACGCTGCTGACGAACAGGAGAGGCAATAACCGTCGCACAAAAGTGACACGGGGACTGTCTTGGACCGACCACCAGGCGGTTGATCGTTGAACCACAAAGTTGTCTGCTCCCCGCACTGCCATTCTCATCTCTAGAAAGGAGCCATACGAAGCCGTGTTAGCTAGAACCATTATCATCGGTTCCACAATAGTCTGGTGGTTCAGGGATTCCACAGTAGTGTTAGTGAAAAGGGTCTAGGCATACGTAACCGCCGATGATAATGACGAGGAGGAAGTTCCATACGCAAAAACCCCAAGTCGCGGCAGAGGTTATGGCGACTTGTTAGACGATTTCTCAAGAACAAGTGAACTTAACTAGAATTGTATCATTTCCTCGTTTCTATTTAGTGAGGGACATTCGAGTATACTTTAGGTAAATCCACATAATTTCACTGGGACGCTCCGTGTTCGGCTAGTGCAGATTGCGCCATGAACAACTAACCTACAGATTACAACACACAACCTGAGGAGAGAGAGACAAGGCCATCCATTTCAACCAGCTCTGATCTGACTACCTTGTTTGTGGTGGAGTAGGATGGTGACTATGTCGGTAGAAGGTAACCGATTCATTTGCCCGTACAATTGCGCAGGGAGGGGAATGTGCCAGCCTAATGAAACAAAAGAATTGTTCGGACGTTGGTAATGGCTAGTCAACAGAGGCTCGACCTCAGCCGCCGCCGCCGCGTTACCGTGGAAGCGGAAACCTGGGAAGGAGAGAAGAGTAGGTAAGCGTTCGATAGGGACAGAGTTTACATTTCTGCATTATGTGCGAACGTAGCGTCACACGCATTGCATGCTGAGTATGTACGGGTTGCTCAAATCAAGAATGTGTTCGGAAAGTTTATCCATATAAACAAACCCGGGCAACTAAGGTCGCGTTAGGGTACACAGTGAAGTATCGGGCGCATTTCAAACAGCGACTGACATTACATGGCCCATTGTGCAGTCACAAGATGCAGGTATCAAGGTTCCAATGTGAGAAAAGCTCATGGATCGGAGTTTGGCGAGCGACACCGTCTTGCTAGCTGAGAACTTGAGGCTCTCTGAAATCGCTCCATCACCTGGCATGTGCGTTTCATCTTCGAAGCGCGAAGTGTCGGTGCCGAACCCCCAACTGTGTAGACGAGGGTATGACTGCTGAAAATGAATTACGTGTTGCAAAAGCCAGAACTGACTTCATGTACCTATGACAACTTTGATGCAAGGATCGTGTACAGAGGGACACAGTGAGAGCAATTCTTCTCTACGGCAGGGAAACTAGGCTATTTCGGTTTACAATATCAAGTGCTCCAACTATCTTGTACGCGTAGTGTCAGGCAGCACAGGTATTCGCTCAATGACGACATGACCTGGCAAGCAATGGGTGGCAATAAACAGGCTACATTGTTAAAATCACCAAATGAGTTGCGCTGATTAGGACGCGTATTCGTCGCTTGCTGAGAAGAGATTTCCCTCACTAACCAAGAGCGAGATGGTGTAAGTTTGCATGGAGAGCAACTGGTAGCAGCACAGAGAGAAATGGAGTAGTAGACCACTGCCTTGGGTGCTGTTGGTCCAGCTAGCCTGACAGATTTTGGTCCGTGCGACACATCCTAAGGTTGGCTCAACGCAGAGCCTACAATCGACATTAGCTACTGTCTCATAAACGGATCGCAGTCTGAGGCAGCATTGATGAAATTGAAATATCAGAGAGGCGGCCTACACGATGTCGCCTTATCTTCTGTTGATTTTTCGGTCCCACGGTACTAATGAACAGGTGCAGAAAGCTAGACAAGCCCTGCGGAATGTTTCCGCCCGCTTGGTTTGCAGCTGTAGGACCATCGAGTTTGCACTGACCACCGGAACATCCAGGTGATTCAGGCATAGATGCAGAACGTTGACAGTGAACAGCGTCTGATTGTCGGCATGGGACGGATATGAGACAAATTTGGAGCCGGAATGATAGCGATTTTATTCTACACAAACTACCTATGAAATAAATTGGACCTCCGAGTAAACCAGATTGCAGGAGAGCATGGTGTCGTCAGTCTGCAAGTCGAAATGTGTTTGATGTGTAGTTGCTCACAATTCTGCGAAATAGAGTATCCGTTAAGCTTAGTTGATCGTCACGTACGCACGCTCCCAAAATGTCAGATGTGTACAATGGCTGCACATGATGCATCCGTACAACGAACCGTCGTAATGCCACTGCTGTCCATGACGATGATGAGGTGGGTGTCAGTAGAATAGCCTAATCAGATCCGTACAGGAGTACACTTATACCAAAAGTTAAATTTTCAATGAGGATTCATCATTTCAATGGCAAGACGATTTGAATTGCAATGTTCATTGGAAGCATCAGATCGTTTAGGGATATTCAGGTTTGTCGAGTAAGTCGAAGCGGACCTAAACTGCTGATTTTTGCTGATGATCTAATAGTTTCTTGATTGACCCATATCTGGGTAATCTAGGACTACATGCATCGTGCCCGTGATCCTTCAACACGCTTTGTGCCGTCGTTGAGTTCTAATGCGACTGGAATCGAAAGTGTGTGAGGAAATGTGATCGCCTCAACCGGAGTTGTATAACAAATGGGAAGATGCAACGATTTAGACAGTTACATGTCCGAGTGGGTTACAGGTAACTGTTGCAGAGCAGATGGTTTTCAGATGAGAGGAAAGTTAGATTCGTATGTAAACAAGTAACGGTAGGTAGCGCAAAACTGTATGTAAAGCTCTCTTACCTGCATTCTTTCACATGCGAAGGAGGGTGTATCAGTGGATCTTGATCCGGAGGGCCTACGACCGCGCGCGGCACCGGAACGTCGATACCGGGACACTGGACGGGCGACAGCTCTGCGAGGGGTCGGGTTTTCGGAGACGCTCTGTGCGCTACGCTGAGCACCACCCGGAGCACTTGTGACCGCAGCTTGCTCAAAGTTACTGTCACGATACAAGCTTCGTAATTGCGCTTTCGTGCGAGGTTTCACAACAGGAGTCGGCAGAGAGACATGAGCATTTGGTGAAAGTGAGGCTGCTGATGGAGTGAGAGTGAAGTGACTAGCATCGATCTCTAAAAACCCTTGGTCAGGTCGGCGACTTTTGGCAAACGGGGAATTTCGGGCTAAAAATGGCTGAGAGGTGGGAGCCGGCTTGGGATCAGAAGTGGAGGGAATTGAAGGAATTTTGGACGGGTCACATATTTTGGACATGGCCACAGCCAGTGGGAGGGGATATCGAAGTTGGGAACATTTAAAATTGATGTAAGCGGAACGAATTGGATCGTTTAGGGGTATTAGATCGTCTAAGCAGCCGAAAGACAAATTGAACCGGGATGCGTGTGCAAGGAAATCATCAACGGGCGGTGTCAATCGAGGTGATGGCGCGGAACTAGGAGTTAGAATTGTGTCAGAGGAAGCAGGAGATGCCGAATTTGTCGCAGCGCATAGGGTTATTGCGCTGGAAATGCGGACAGTTGAGCTGCCGCTGGTCCAAATCGAGCAAGTGGGCGGAGTGGGAGCAAGCGTGGACACGGGGTTGGGGATTGAAGACGGTCTATGACTAACCGAGGCGATTTGCAGGGAGGGCACTATAGGGTTGCAGGAGAGAGAACAGTCATTCGGCCTATCCGAATTCTGCGGGGCCGAATGCGGACTGCAGGATGTTGGTTCGGACGGCGAAGTGGGATTATCTGGTGCAACAGAAAGTGATTGACTTGATGGATGGAGATGTGGTGTTGGTGGTGCATGAAGAGTGGACTCCACTGGAGTAGGGGTCACAGGAGGGATGGGAGAGGGAGGAGATAGCGCAATCTCCTCTCCCTCAGGTTTTATCCATGGGGACGCGTTATGGGAGGTGATCGTGGCAGTGCAGATAGATTCCGAGTCGGCCGACGTGGATCGGTTTGTTGTGGAAACATTGTCTTCTTCTATATGGAGGAAAATAAAAAGGATAGTTTTGCCCTAGTAGCGGCAAACGCAAGAAAAACTGACCCAATGGCACGCACAGAAGAGAGTGGGGGTGGAGAATAGTGGAAGACGAAAAACCAATGGAATTGTAACGAATGAAGGGTGAGATGGTCCTAAGAAGTATTCGGCGCAAATAAAAGAAAACAGTAACAGTTACAAGCTATTTCATGAATTCTTTGAAAACGAAAGCTGGGAATCCCAGTGTGAAGCTCATTCGAAGTAAACATGATACTTCACTTTGCTTTTGCACAGAGCAAGTAAAGAATAGATAGATAGAGCTATGGAAATCTGCCAACCAGTAAGTAATTGTATCTGACAATCGGAAGGAGATCACGTGAAGATTGTGTGTGAGCATAAAGTGGGTGTCACATGCGTACGTTTAATCAGTCCGAAGCATCTCAGTTCCGCTTGAGCAACTTTGAGCTGAACCTGAGATCATTTAGGTACGCGAGCACGGCTCTCGATGTGATAAAGGGGAATGGACGAGAACTAAATGAGGATTTAACAAAAAGTTAAAAAAAATTGGACTGAGAAACAAGTGTGCGTTGAAAAGAGAACGAAAAAAGCGCTACTGTCCTATCCACTCCCATTAGACTGAACAAGATTTCCCAAAACTGAGGTGTCCGACCATGAGACGGCGATGTCCGAACTGGAATCAGAAATTCAATCAATTGTCACACTCATTTCGTCACGTCACCAGAGGGTGAACCTGAGGCTCCGTTTGATAAAGAACATGACTATGCCTATTCTCAATTAATTCCATTCCCTGTGCTTTCGAATTCCTTTTTAGGGAAAACATATTCTACCACAGGTCTCTCAAGATGGTCTTCAGCGGTAGCAAATTGCATCTATCGGGCGCATAGGCTTCTGAAAAAGCGTGCTGTTCGTTGTGTGACCAATCAAAAATCAGCCAACAGTATAATATATGGGTACACAGAATGTTACTGACTGATTTGGGATTGGTCACTCAACAAACATTCGCATTTACGAGCGTTCGCGCCCGTTGGATACAATTTGATATCGTTGACAATTATCTTGGGAAATCTGTGGAGTAAAAGGATTTCCTCAAAGACAGAATTGAAGGCACCTGTTAGATCTTTGCATTTTCTCGCTATTCGAGTAAAACACCTAAAAATTTTCCGCAAGAATTTTAGCCAAACGGAAGAAAAATCAGAAGTCCAACGACCTCGAACACAAAAAACGTGTTAAGAAAAACGCCGTCAAAACGCTGTACAAATACGCCAGACCTACGCCAAATAGATAAATGGCTCAATGACCTACGGCTTTTAGAGAGTGAAGGCCAACCGGTAAAATTAGCAGCCACCCTGCCAAAACCCAGTACGCTGGCAATCACATAAAGGAATGAAAGGTTCCGGAATCTTTGGAATCAGTGTACAGTCGAAGATAATCGATTAATAGCTAAAATAATGGGTTTTCTTCGATGTTATTACCTTTTTCCGGATAGCATCTTTAAATCAGCCATTGCTCTTTCACTGGGAACATGACTTTTACTTTATCTGCTGCGGATTCATCAGTTTTCCGTGAGCTTTTGGCATTTTCCTGAGTTACACTAACTACTAGGCAACTAATGCTGTCCTTCCCCGATTTGTGAACATGAACTTGGAGATAATGCGCGTACTGCGCGGTTATGAGAAGACGTTTCGAAACTCAAGGAATATTGGTCCGGATCGATAAACTGAGTTTCGACATTGTGCCAACAACAGGATGCAGATTCAGGACCGTTTAGCCGGGTGACACTTGTACACTTAATGCCACAACATTCAGTTGTATAATTTTGCATTTTTAATGAAGTGATTTTAAAATGTCTGCAGTGGGTACTGCAAAATGTTGAAAACGTGCACACTCGGGTACATGAAGCATATAGTGACTTGACTTCACTAGTTATCACACCAACCGACAATGGAAATCAAATCAAAGCTCAAAGGAAGCGGGCGCCAGTAGACATTTAGTCGTAAAAGAATCAACGTATGCGCTGCATACTGCGGCTCAGATTAGCGGAAACAGGCTACTGTTGATGCCGTCCGTTACTCTTTTCAAGTAACTATCTTGCATATCTCCCAAGCACCATTAATAACATTCACCCTGAAGTTCTTAGCAGAAATGACGGCGTCTACGATGCAACTGGTGTCTAAAAATCTGTATCAATGTTACCATGGTGGTCAACCGTCTGCCGTCACTAAAAACTCACACTAGGTCATATGGCCCACCTCCTTTGATAGCATCCGGCATTTGTACCCCAAAACATATAGGGTGAGAAACAGCCGCAAAACATTCATGGGAGACCTTTGTTGCTAACTAGTGTAGCGAGTCCAAAGTTGAGAAGCTACAAACCCCAGATGATTCGTGGACGGAATGTACCTACTCCTCATTCGTCAAGTGGACGTTCACAAGATAGGCTAAAGTGAGCATTTGTTTCAGATGCAGCGTTGAAGCTTCAAACGATGACCTCTGCGAACGGACGCATGCATACAATCGGCTTAGGCAACCGGGTAGTATCGTGCCCTCTGTGAAAACAATGGATTTCGCAATTACTACTACGTCGCTTACTTCTGCTGCTACTCGTGCTTCTCCATCACATGCCAACTTTCCTCTCGTTGATAATCTACAATCTGATGAATCTACTTCCAATGCGCGTTTCGCTGATATCCAAATCATCCGGCCATCAGCTATTCTTCGACCCCTCCTTCATTCCGCCTGGCAGCGTTCAATATGCGGACCCTCATACAGATTGGACAACAGACTGGCCTGGCGCGCACTCTAGAGTCCGTCGCCATTGATGTTTGTTGTCTTTCAGAGACTCTGTTACAGGAGCCCAGCACCGTGTTTAAGTTGTCGTCCCCAGCTGCTCATGAGAACACATAATACCTACGTCTGTCTAGTGACATGGAGGCAGCAACAGCCGACTTAGCTGGTGTCGGTATCACATTGAATGACAAAGCGGAGGTTGCATTAATCGACTGGTTTGCAACCGACAGCCAGCTGTGTGCGATTCGGCTCCAATGTTCATGTAAAATCAACGGCTATCGTGAAGAGAGGCGCAATTTGTTTGTGGTTTCTGCCTAAGCTCCAATCGATCGCAGCTGGACATCGGTTAAGGATGACTTTTATCGTGGTCTTCACACCCTTTTGAACAAGGCCGAAAAGTCAGGTGTCGTCGCTCTTGCCGGAGATCTCAATGCACGTGTAGGTCGCCTGCTTCCGTGCGAACGTCATCTTGGTGGCAGTCACGCGCTTGATGAGAGTCGTTCTGACAACGGTGATAGACTTCTTACGTTATGCGAAGACCACCGTCTCTTTCTCACAAGTACGAAGTTTAGGCATACCAAAAGATGCGCAGCCTCCTGGCGTCCTCCATCACCAACGCAAGCGTGGTCACAAATAGATCACATTCCAATCAGCTTTAGATGGTAACGCGGCGTCTGGAGTTGTAGATCGATTTGGTCTACATACCTCGATTCAGATTATGCTTTGGTCTGCGCGGACATCTGCATGCGCTTTGGCGGCTCCTCAAAACAAAAGGTCCATACGCTCGACACCAACAAGTTAGCTAACCTATCTACTCGATCAACCTATCAAGCTTCTTTGTCGCATGCATTCATTGGAGTTCCACCTCGAGACATCGAAAATCATTGGAGTTTCATGCGTGAAGCGATGCTAACTTCCAGTTTTTCAATCTGCGGAATCACAAGGTTGCATTTCTGCACAATCACTGGAATATTGTAATCGTCGTAGAGCTATCCTGGCCGATTTAAATAACAGTGCATTGCGTCGCATTCTCAGCCAACAACTTAATCAAAGCATGCGTGCTGATCGCAAAACTGGGTGGTCCCAGCTCGCCTCAGAGATGGAAATGGCTGCTCTCTCTTGAAACCTTCGCAAGCTTTTTCAGGTCAGCCGGGCTACTGGTCACAAAAGATCTAGTGTCATTGAGGTCACCTGCGCATGGACCTCTGGGCTGAATACTTCCGCACTCAATTCAGCTGGCCTCCTCCGCCGGCGAACGTAATGAGTAAACATAGTTGCGCGCCTTGGAACATCTCACGGCAACCAACCACTGAAGCTGAAGTCTGCCCTGAGCTCCGACGCTTAAAGGGATTCAAGTCTGCTGGTCCAGACGGACTTCCTTCAGAGCTGTTCAAGTTCGGGGGTGAAGTAAGTGTCAACCAGGTAACAGTTCTGTTCTCTAAGATCTAGACTGAAGAAACAGTTCCATGCGCTTGGAGCGAGACAATTATCGCCCCGATCTTCAAGAAAGGTGCCAATACCCTATGCGCTAACCATCAAGGAATCAGTCTACTATCCGTTGCTTTCAAGCTGTTAACAATCATTCTACTCCACAGACTAACCCCAATTCGAGAATTGCGCTCCCGGGAAGAACAAACCCCAATTGAGGGTGTGTAGACCAGTTGTTTACGCTCCGCCACCTCCTTAAAACGCGTCACCTTTACCACCATCCTACTATCGTTGTTTTTTTTGGACATCCGAGCCACTTTCAACCGTCGATCGGCCAGCTTTATGACGTTGCTTACAAAGGAATAGAGTACCCGAAAAGTATATCGCCATCCTTCGAGCATTATATTGCAATCTCTCAGGTAAAGTGAGGACTTATGGTAAGCCTAGCGGTGTACGACAGGGTTGCCCCATGTCCTCGTTTCTCTTCAATTTTGCGATCGAGAATGTCCTTTTAAACACTCTCGAGGGCTTTCAGAGCTTTGATGTAGAGCTTCTTCCTGGCAACCGCGTGACGGATTTAGATTATGCTGACGATATTGCTTTGCATGGTGATGACGCACAGAGTACACAAGCCGTTCTAAACCACTAGGCGATTGAAGCGCCAAATATGTAATGACCTTTAACCCCCTAAGAAATGCAGTCCTGGTCATGGATTGGCATCCACCTGCCCCAGTGCTCCTTCTTATAAATACGCAGCTTGAACAAGTGGACAACTATTTACATTGGAAGCTGTGTTTTTGTTAATGGTAGCATTAGAAAAGAGATCTCCCTCCGCATTGCCAAAGCCGGTTCGCCATTCGCCAAATTGAGGCATCTGTGGCGAGGCCGCGAGATTTCACTATTGGTAAAGGGCTGGGTCTACAACGTCTGTGTTCGCGCGGTACTGCTGCATAAAAGTAAGTCCTGTCCGATTAGTGTGAATGACTTGCGTCGGATTTTGGCATTTGAAGATGGATGTCTGCGGAGAATAGCTCGCACGGTGGATAAAGCACGTGCGCAAAGATGATGTCAGACGTCGCGTCTTGAGTTACATGAGACTTCCACTTGATAGACTGGTACCACAGCGCTAACTGAGATGGCTGGGTCACGTTTTACGCAAGCAATGCGGACGGTTGTCCAGATGCGCTATTTTCGCTCGCACAGGAAGAGGCTGAAAGAAATCGCGCAATTATCAGCCTGTCAGGTGAAGACAAGGGATTAAAACGTTCAATTCTATATTTGCTGGCGTAAGTTTTGTGTGTTTTCCGGGCCGGGGAATCAAAGATGAAGAAATCGCAAATTGGAAACCCATTTGTAGATGGCGCAAAACCGAACAAAATGGAAAATGTGTAGAAAGGTTTGCCTTGAATTTCCGGATTTACATCGCAAACATTAAACAGCGAAAGATAAAACGGCGTGTGAAAAAAGCCGAAACTAAATTCCAAAAAAAAATAATTTTGCAAATGAATTTTTCATCTGATCTCTGGATTTCATAAGTACACTACATCGTTTTCGCTGGCTCTGTCTATCTTATATATATATATATATATATATATATATATATATATATATATATACATATATATATATATATAATTATACCCATGACACGTGTACTGCGTGGAGCAGAGTGTGGCACTGATCACAAATTGGTGCGGACCAAACTGTACATATGTTTTCGTAAATCAATGTATTGCACTCCCGCCGTGAATCGGCGAAAATTAAACATTCTCTCCCTCGGTACTGTGGCGAAACGTACTGAGCTGGAAAAGGCCATGGCTGCACCACTGTGTGATGTGGACTGCATAGCCACAGTGGGCGACCTGTGGCACCACATTCGCGATCAGGTGACAGCTGCTGCCGAGGAGATCGTCGGGCGCCCAAACTGTAAGCGGCTTGATCGGTTTGATGAGAACAACGCGGCGATTGGCGCATTGGTGTGTGAGAAGACTGTAGCATTTGTTGCACATATCGCAGACCCCAGTAACTTGGGAAAGTGTAGTCAGTTTCGCGAACTTCGACGGCGACTGACCCGAGAGCTCCGTCGCATTAAAAATGCATGGTGGACGGAGAAGGCGAAGCAGATGGAATGCTACACCGAACGCCGCCAACAAAAGGAATTCTTTGATTCCTTGAAGGCGGTGTATGGACCGAGCTTGGAGCCGCTGAGGACGCAGATCAATGGCAGTTAAGGCGCTACCTGCACACAGACTGCAAAAATAATGCAGATCTCGAGGACACACTTTGACTGTCTTTTGAACAACCGTTCAAAGATCGACTAGCCTACTATGAATGGCCTGAAGCAGAACGATGTGAAGACGAGTCTGTCAGACAAGCCGATGCTGGATGAGACGCAGAGAGCACTTGCTCAGCTGCCAAACAGCAAGTGTGCCGGGGCCGACGGGATCCCACTAGAAGTATTGAAACACGGCGGACCCGCGTTGTTGACTGCGCTGCACCACTTGGTGCAACGTGTATGGATTAAGGAGGAGGAGGTGCCCCCTGAGCTAAAGGATGCCCTTGTGCTACCACTGTACAAGGGCAAAAGGGAGCAAGCAATGTTGTACGAATTATCGTGGCATTAACTTGCTGAGTTGTGTGGGCAAGGTGATTGCCCGAATCCTGCTCAAAAGCCTCGTCAGTCAGGTTATGGAACCTAACGTGGCGGAAGAGCAGTGTGGATTCCGTTCGGGTCGCAGCACTATAGATATGGTGTTTGCAGCTAGTCAGTTGCAAGAGAAGTGCAGAGAACGACACCAGCCTTTGTATTCGCTTTTTGTTGATTCCACCAAGGCATTTGATACGGTGAACCGCGAGGCATTGTGGCTGGTGTTGGGTAAGTTTGGTTGCCCGCATAAGTTTGTGAGTTTAATTAAATGTCTGCACAGTGGTATGCGAGCGAGGGTGCAGCTGAGTGGAGAGACCTCGGATGACTTTGCAGTTGTCTCTGGTGTGAAGCAAGGCTGTGTCTTAGCTCTTGCCCTTTTTAATATATATCTTCATGCAATGTCCTGTGCTTTTGATGCCGCTTGTGCTTACGGTGTTTGTGTGGAGCACCGTATTGAAGGTGGGTTGCTGAACATCCGTCGTTTCGGTCCGTGAACTCTAGTCTGTGAGACAACTATCCGTATGTTACGGTTTGCTGACGACTGTGCATTGTTTTCACACAGCGCGGTTGAGTTGCAGCACATGACTAGTGCTCTGGATTCGACAGTGGCCAAATGCGGGCTCACCATCAACACAAGCAAAACTGTCTGTCTCTTCCATGCTTCACCGGAGCTACAATCTACAATATTGCTAAAAAGCAGCATTGGTGCTGAAGTATTAAAAAACACCTGCCGCTTCAGCGACCTTGGGAGTGTGATGTCGACTGATCAACAGATACACAGTGAGAAGCGCACCCGCGTGACGAAGGCAGCTGTGGTAGTTGGGAAGCTAGAGTACCGAGTGTGGAACAACCATCAGCTTACCATTGGCACGAAACTGATGGTGTACAAATCCATGGTGCTGTCCGTTCTTCTATACGGCAGTGAAACTTGGACGATGTACCGTCGGGATGTGGGATATCTCGAGCGCTTCCATCAGCAGTGTCTGCGACGGATTTCGCGCATCGGCTGGGCGACAGAGTAGCAGATACGGAAGTGTTGCGACAAAGTGGGATGCATGCAGTGGACTGCATACTTTTATTGAGACACCTGAGGTGGCTCGGTCATGTGAGCCGTATGGATTCGGCGCGGATACCGAAGCAGCTATTATATAGTCAGCAGAGTATTAGGAGGTGGCATGTGGGGAAACCAAAGTTACGTTACCAGGATATGATCAAAGTGAGCCTCTCGCGTTCTAATCTTGATTGCAGATCATGGGAATCGAAGGCGGTTGATCGGGGTGCATGGCGCGACCTGATCACAAAGGCAGTTGTCGAGGTGCAGGAGAAAGCCCTCATGCATGCAGAGAAGAAGCGGCAAGTGCGGAAGCGACAAGCACCGATGGGTTGTTCTCCAGCGACATCGAGCGCATGGTGCTGTAGCACATGCGGTCGCGAGTGCCTGAGTTAGGCAGGTTTAGTGAGCCATGAGCGAGGCCACTCGGGACTACTACCGAAGCGACGACGGGTCCTGCAGAGAACGTAGGCAGACCCAGCGCAGCGTCTGTAGGCAAGCTGCATTCGATTTAATAACCGCGTGCTGGCATGCTAAGTCTCTTTATTTCAGGTTGTGGGTTTTCAATTTTGCCTTAATGCTTTTCGTTCTCATATAAATGTCTACCTTTACTCTATTCCATAAACTTGCACACCTCGCTTAAGCCAATTGTATTCGATTTCCATAACATTTTGTGTTCGAGGCATTTCCGTAAAGTATAATTTCTGACCACGTGAACTTATTTAGGATTCATTTGTAAACAACTAACTTCATATGATCATTAACTTAAGGTTTATGTCACCGTTTCCTTATGTATTACTCCATTTATTTTCTTGGTTATCTTTCTCTCAAGTGATTGGCTGTTGTTTGATATCCCCGATGTGGCTGCACTTGATGTGAATGTTGACAAGGTGCCTAGCTGTCTATTACCCACTACCTTGTCCATACTGGCTCCAGGAGACAGTTGGTTCTTGCTGGAGGGGACGGGGTGCACGGTCCTTGTGGTCGTGCTAGGCTCAAAGAGTGGTTCCATGCACTCAGTATGGAGCGGACTACGGTTTATCCTCCGTCTAGTGTGCGCTTGATTCCACAAATACGGCGTACTTGTGTTTGCATGTGAAGGAGTGTGGGCCGGCTCCGTAGATGAAACGTGGCTCCCATCCGCATGACTCCCGGTCTTATTCCTTCGGGGTTACACTGGATATGGGGTGTGTGGCTGGAGCTGTGGGAGGTGTAGCGCAAGCCACCCATGGTCCCTCTGTAGGCGCAGGCGTCCAGTGGCTGGCCACAGTGACAAACAAACCCGAAACCGGATGCCGCCAACCATATATATATATATATATATATATATATATATATATATATATATATATATATATATCGGGTTTCAGATTTGCCTGTCACAGTGGCCAGCCACAGGACGCCTGCGCCTACAGAGGGACCATGGGTGGCTTGCGCTGTACCACCCACACACTCCATTTCCAGTGTAAACCAGAAGGAATAAGACCGGAAGACATTTGGATGGAGCCACGTTGCATCCTCGGAGCCGGCTCACATTCCTTCACAGGCAAACACAAGCGCGCCGTGTTTGGGGAATCAAGCGCGCACACAAGGCGGTGGCTGGACAGTAGTCCGCTCCACACTGACTGCATGGAACCACTCTTTGATCCTAACACAGCCACAAGAACCGTGCACCCCGTCTCCTCCAGCAAGGATCAACTGTCTCCTGGAGCCAGTATGGACGAAGTATTGGGTAATGGACAGGCAGGCCCCTTGTCAACATGCACATCAAGCGCAAACATACCGCGGATATCAAGCAACAGCCAATCACTTGAGAGAAAGATGACAAAGCAAATAAATCGAGTAATACACAAGGAAACGTGCTAAAAGTTCTAAAGTAATGAGCCGATGAAAAATGTTGTTTGCAAAGGATCCGAGGTAAGTTCACGAGGTCAGAAATATATTTCACGGAAATAACACGAACAAGAAAATTTTATCGAAAGTAACTACAATTAGCTTAAGCGACGTGTACAAGTTTATAGAAGAGCGTACGGGTAGATATTTATATGAGAAAGCAAAGAATTAGGACAAAATTGAAAACCCACCACCTGAAATAAACATGCTTAGCATGCAAGCACGCGGTTAGTAATCGAATGCAACGTACCTACAGACGCTGCGCTAGTTCTGCCTACGTTCTCTGCAGGACCCATCTTTGCTTCGGTAGTGGTCCCGAGTGACCTCGCTCATGGCTCACTGTGTCTGCCTGACTCAGGCACGCGCGAACGCATGTGCTACAGCACCATGCGCTCGATATCGATGGAGTACAATCCATCGTTGCTTGCCGCTTCCGCACTTGTCGCTTCCTCTCTGCATGTATAAGGTTATTCTCCTGCACTTCGGCAACGGCCATCGTGGTCAGATCGCGCCATGCACGCCGATCAACCCGCTTAAGATTCCCATGACCTGCAATCAAGTTTAGAAAGTGAGAGACTATCTATCATCATTTCCTGCCAACGCAACATGTCGCTTTGCGAAATTGAGCTGACCATATAATAGCTGTGTCGGTGTCACGTCGAATCTATACGGCCCACATGACCCAGGCACCTCAGGAGCCTCAGGAAAAATATGCAGTCCACTGCATGCATGCAATTAGAGCGCAACACTTCTATGATCGCAACTCTGTCGCACAAACCGATGCGCAGTATCCGTCATATACAATGGTGATGGCATCGCTCGAGATATTTCACGTTTCGCCGGTATATCGTCCACGCTCCGCTGCCCAATAGAAGAACGGACAGCACAATGGATTTGCACACCATCAGCTTAGTGCCAACGGCAAGCTGATGGTAATTCCACACTCGGTACTCCAGGCTCCGGGCGGAGTCCCTCAAGCAAAGCTCCGAAGCACAACTGCCACCTTGCGTGCGATTGCCCACCAATGCAATCGTATGACTGCGCGAAAAGCATTCAGCATCCGGTGTTGGAACGTGCGCACACTACTGCACCGGAACTCCAGTGAGCGCCTGGAGCGACGCACTGCAATGGTCGCGATGAAGCTGGCGCGTTATCGCATCGATATTGCGGCGCCCAGTGAAACTCGGCACGCTGAGCAAGGTAATTTGCATGAAGCAGGTGCTACCTACACGTTATACTCGGTGGACAACACCGCCTCAGCAACATCTGATCATGTGGTCGGATTTGATATATCCGATCGCATCAATGGCCAGCTGAAGGGTGAACTAACAGGCATCAGCGCGCGACTGATGACTGTTCGCCTACAACTCGAAGGCGTGATGCATCCGCGTGGACAGGTGTTATCGGTCCGCATGGCATTGGCTCAGCGAATGCGAACAGTGACAGATTGCTCTCACTATGTGCCACTCACGGCCTGACGATCAAGAACACTGGGATTGCAATGACTGCGAGTGATATAGCAACGTGGACACACCCAAAGAGTGGTCACGCTCAGCTGCTAGGTTATGTCATCCTACATCAGCGTGATAAGCGCGAAGTGTGCATGACACGTGCATCGTGTAGGCCTGAGTGTGGCACCAGCAGGGCTCAATAATTAGAGGAGGCAGGAGCAGTAGGCAATTACCGGAAGCTCTTCCAGCTAATCCGCACCATTGGTCCCAGAAAACCTGGCGTCCGTGAGACGATCAGACAGTGCGGGTGCGCTGATACACAACAAGCAGCCCAGCACGGCACGTTGGACGGAGCACTTTGAAGATCAGTTCAGCTGGCCCCCTGCTCCAGGACATCTTCCTACTCAGGTCGTGATGAAGGACGAACCATGGACGGTTAGTTTAGAGCCTCCGTCGGAGGCCGAGGTCCGAAGCGCGATCACAGCCCTCAATCGTTTTCGTGCTGCTGGCCAGGATTCCCTCCCACCGTCACTATCTAAGGATGAAGGTGAGGTCCACTGCAAAGTATTGATTTCCCTATTCGAACGTACCTGGAAGTGTCCTGGCTAAGTAAAGCGAATAGACTATAGTGGCAATATACAAGAAGGGCAGTCGCACAGACTGTTTTAACCACAGGGGTATTAGCCTAACGCCAGTTGTGACAAAATTACTGGCCTCGATTCTCGTTCGTCGCATCACTGCGAAAAGGGAATCTCAAATTAGGGAAGAGCAGGCCGGTTTCCGCCCAGGGCGTGGTTGTATAGACCATATATTTACTTTGCGGCAGGTGTTACAGCACCGCCACACATACTGTAGATCGACAATAGCTGTGTTCCTCGATTTCAAGAGTGCGTCGGATTAAGTCGATCGATGCAGTCTGTTCGATATACTTGCGCGACTATGCGCTTCCACGAAATATGTGGACATCCCTCGTGCTCCATACTCGAACACTACAGGCTGCGTCATGGTCTACGGTAATCTATCGGATAGCTCCCCGACCACAAGTGGCGTTCGTCAGGGTTGTCCGATTTCCCCATTTTTTCAATTTCGTCGTGGTTTCTATTATGGAGTGTTCCCTTGCGGAATCTCACGATGTACGCGTTGAAGTGGTGCCTGGTGAAAGATTAGTTGATCTAGATTATGCGGACGATATCGTCTTGCTTTTCGACAATGTTGAAGCGGCACAATCAACCCTGAATAGCCTGTCCAGAGTGGTCCCATTATTGGGTATGCACTTCGCACCTTCAAAGTGCAAAGTGTTGCTGCAGGACCACCAGCCACTTTATGACCCCTTGACCCTTGCTAATGAGGGACTGGAGCTGGTTGATCGAAGCACTTATCTTAGCAGCTGCATCAGCAACGATGGGCGCATAGAAACTGATGTCAGCTCACGCATTGCAAAAGCCAGAGCCACCTTCTTGAACCTGCGGCATCTTTGGCGACGGAATAGAGTTTCTTTTCGCCTGAAAGGCCGTGTATACAAGGCCACAGTGATGGCCGTTCTGCTCTATGGTAGTGAGACTTGGCCCATTCGGTCTGAAGATCTGAGGTGCCTTCAAGTCTTTGATCATCGTTGTTTGTGAAGCATTGCTGGTGTCGGATGATTGCAGCGTGTCCGCAACGATGATGTGCGTAGGCGAGTACTAGGTAGTGATAAACATGCTAGCTCCCTAGAACAACAGATAGCACTGAATATTTTGCGTTGGGTCGGACACGTGCTACGTTTGTCTGTTCACCACCTACCTAGGAGGACCTTGTTTAGTCTATCAGGTGTAGGGTGGCGCAAAGCTTGAGGTGGATAGAAGTTGACTTGGCAGCGTGTAATGAAGTCACTGACAACCAAACTGGGTGCCGTTGGTCCGTCTCGCCTTCCGGGCTGGAGTCCACGGGACTCGCCTTTTGCTTGGCTCGAGACTTTACAGGACATGGCTCGCAGTAGACACCAGTGGCGCGTCTGCTGCCATTTCCAAATCGGGTTGCCTGTTTAGTTGCGTTTGTCGCTGAGTTATCTGCGGGGTAATGGCTGATTATGACGCGTGGCAGTGAAAGTCGCAAGGAAGCTGTCTCGACGACGCCGCAGTATCTTTGCACGATAGCGAGCTGTTTGTGACGGTATGTTGTCTACACAAGGTGTATGCGCCTTCATCCTGCATGTGTGCTTAGGGCATTGAGGTTTTCAGGTATGTCCTTCTTCTGTCGCATCTGTGGCGCCGGCGGTACATTACTCTCGCTCTGATGGGCAGTTTACAATGCAG